AATATCACGTAAACTGAAGAATGTAGTGTTCTGATAAGCTATGGATAAATTACAACCTCTACGTAGTCTCCACTACGTACATAACTTGATTAAGTGAACAAGGCTTACTTTCATTTTATTCCACATAAACTCTATAGTCTACTTTATTAAATAGATAATAATAATAGTAATAATAGGAATTTAATTAGTTTTATGGATGCCCATTAACTCCTTGTTTTCTGTTAGAAAGATGGTAACAATTAAAACAGTAATAATAATTCATTTGCTTTTGTCAAAATTGAATTGAGAGAAGTGCATTGAGTGACGTGAAAATATATGAGATAAATATTACATATTGAGACTGGCAAACAAATAATTGAAGTAACTAACGATTAATAAATGAGGAATCTATCAGGCGAAAAACTCAAACCATTGAAGTTCGACCATATTGGGTGTGATACAGTTATCCACTACAGGAAGTAAATGAAATTTGTGCGTTATGGTTAGTTTATTGAAGTTAGACATGCACATCATTCGGTGTCGGTTTAACGATTTATATGCTAAGCATTCGGGTAAAAGTATGATGTACTGACAACCTTATGTGGCATATCAGCCAGTAATTAATTATAAAACAATCAACAGTTAAAAGCAATAAAATATCAGTGCTCTAAAAAATCAACCCGTCAAGTTTACAGATTAAAATTCGGCCGAGTTTATGAATTAAGGTCATCACCGCAGAGTTTTCGTCACCAATGGAGACCATCTATTATGCTGTAAAATTAAATGCTAGATATTAATTATTATGTTGTAGTTGGGTTTACAAATTAGATTTAAGATTTTATCACGAAATAATATCAGCTATGAAGCAATGTTTTATCATTCTGCCGTTTTCACATTTTGCAGTCTTATAGTTGGACTTTAGAGTGAGAGTTAGAATGGTAGTTTAATCTAATGATCAATTCGAAATGTCAGCAGTATTGCTCATTCACTATGTAAATATTAGTGGATGGTAATTGATTAATTAAAAGAATCTTGCATACAGTAGATGATTACTTTGTAATAATAGCAAATCGCAAATGATCTGAGTATTTAATTTTGCTAAGTAGTCCTGTTGTAACTGGTGTGCAATATATACTACTTGTGAATAGTTACAAACTAATCCTACTCCTGTTTTCAAATCAGCATAGTTTCAATACTATAATCTTATAGATAACTCAAAACATTCAAATCGCTACACTACAAGTGTGTCTGAAAGTAATCACCTTCCTCAACTGAACATGTAAAATATTCCATCAAGCATTTCAGATTTTAAAGAGTGTTTTGCCTACTATATGAAATCATAAAGGTTTAAGGATGAATAAGTTTTTTTGGGAATCTAAATATTAAATTTCACGAGACCTACATAATCTAGTTTCCGTATTGATCGATTGTCACATGATAAAACTATTGCCCACTGAAGATTTAAATCTACCGAAATTGTTTAAATATTTATTAGAACAATGTGTATTCGTGGTGATCAATAATGAAAGAAATTTTATTTTTTTCCTCAGCATCAATTCTTCGGTAATAATTATTGATGTATTAGTGGTAACTGAATGAACAGTTAAAATTTTAATTCTCTTTTCGTATTCATATACTCTTCTATGATAATAAGTTTATTGGAATGCTAGTATAAGCTAATAATTATCACCCATTATTAACAAAGAAGAATACGTACAATAGAAGAAAAACTCAAATTATTCTATTTATGCAATAAGACAAACAACTAGAAGATACGACAAATTACATCACACCTAGCAATAGTTAAAAGGTGAGAAGGATGAATCATTCATCAGTGATTGCAGGGTTAAACATTCGACTTCCAAACACTATTGCTTCACATATTACGGTTTCAGTAGGCAAGTAATATTATTAGTTCTAATATATGTATGCATTGCGACTGAGACCGACTCAGTTACACAAATATGCAGTTGGTGTGTTATTTCATCAACAGGTTCTCTTAGAAAATTATCAATTATCACTTTTGAAATCCATGAAATGAACACTACCTGAAACAAGTATCGAAGCGATGGGATTGTGCTTACTTGATCATTATCACAACCGTGTTTCAGTTTGAAATTTTACGGTTTTAAAGTTGAAAATAAAACGTTGTCTTTGTGGAGTATTTTTTTAATTTAAAATAATTTTTATGAAAATCCTAGTGCTATTTGATTCAGTTTTTCAATCAATTGTTGTCGGATTGATGGATTGAAATATACATTCATTTCATCATTTCATAAGCATGACATATATCAAGTTGCATGTGACTTTTTATATCTTTCCAAATACAAATATATAAACATTAGCCATTGATTTTAACTTTTTGATGGAAAAAGGTAGGTAAACAAATCGATATAAATAATCTGTTTCTGATGAAGACAGAATCTAAAGTATGTAATCATAGGTTAAAATCGATCGTGTACCGACCGAATCGCAAGCGATACTACGGATCATTGTGGATCAGTCAACTGGATGGAATTCACCACTCTATAACAACTCCATTGACTACGAGAAAGCATTCGATAGCATGGACAGGAAAACACTATGGAGTCATCTTGGACACTACGGTGTGTCTGAAAAGATAGTTAACAGTATACGGAATTCTTATGATGGATTCAACTGCAAAATCGTGCAACGTGAACAGCTGACAGACTCGTTCGAAGTAAAAACCAGTATCAGGTAAGGTTGCTTACTCTCACCCTTTCTCTTTTTTTCTGGTGATCGACTGGATTATGAAGGCGTCAACATCCTGGGCGAAGCGCATGATACAGTGGACAACTAGGACGCAGCTGGACGATCTAGAATTCGCAGGTGATCTGACTCTCCTATCGCACACGCAACAACAAATGCAAGAGAAGCTGACCAGTGTAGCAGCAGCCTCTGGAGCACACACACTTGACGGTGAAGCTTTGAAGGTTGTATAAACCTTTACATGCCTGGGCAGCAAAATCGATGAGCAAGGGAGTTCTGATACAGATGTGAAGGTATGGATGGGCAAAGCAAGAGCTGCCTCTCAACAATTGAAACGCATCTGGAACTCAAAATAATGATCAACCAACACCAAAGTCGGAACTTCTAATACAAATTTCAAGACATTTCTACTGTATGAGGCGGAAACTTCGAGAACTGCGAAAGTCATCATCCAGAAAATTCGAGTGCTAGTCAACTGTTGTCGCCCACATTGTTTGAACATTACATGTACGTAAATTAATCGTTGCTTTGGTTGTAAGACGGAAAATCGACCTCATTACTTTTGACAAAACTCCGTTTCCATCCTGAGGCGTCATTACCATTCTAAATGAAGACCCTCCAACTATCAGGTGCGGAGTTTAAATGGTCTGAATTACTTATCCTGTCTTACGTTTTTTTAGTGAACGATTATTGATTCCGAAACTGTGCTAATTAGTTGTAACGGACTTTTTACATTTATATGGTACCTTTAACTTAGTTTTACACCTATGAATAGGCATAAATTTTATTTCCAGTTATTTTATTCGCCTACGATAACGACTGATTTGAGTTGCTTCCTTTTTTAAAGGTTCATTTAATTAAGCCAGAACACTTTGTTTTGCAGTAAAAGTTTCGCATCTTATAAATGTGTAATGATCTTGAATCCTATTCTGAGAGCTTTGTTACACAATAATTATTTGCTTAAGCTAAAGAAATTCGGTTAACTGATAAATGGTTTGCTTTTACGCTCACAATTGTTGATAATCAATTTTTTACTGTCTGAAATATGACCTACGAGCCTCTCAATTTGCATATTCGTTGTTGTTATTTCTCTTTATATATGGATGATCAATTGCATATAGATTAATAGTACCTTCTTTTCTTAATATTTGCGCTTCTAATCTATACTAATTTTTATGTTGGTCATTAATCAGCTTTTAGTCATCTGCAAGGTGTATCTGAAACCTTGAGGGGCTTCATGGTTCCTATGAAGCTCGAATCTATGTATTGATTTATATTGTTTCGTAGGATATCTTTAAATCTACATATAACCTTTTTCATTAGTCAGGTGATTTTGGATCTACAAAAGAGTTGAAACACAACTATCTTTATGGATACCAACTATTTCTCACTCTTAAAAAACAGAAACTATAAACAATTTCCTTCCTACTGTATATGAATGATTTCACTGTGGATAACATCACCATATTTGTAATTATTCTGAAAAAAAATGTTTTCTCTGAATTTTTATTCTTAGCTAATCCTATTTTAACAACAGCATAACAAGTACCCATGTTCGTCTACACAGTGATGGCTTTTGCAAGTTGTCTGGAAGTTTGAGAACCGAGAAATCGGTTACCGAAATCTCAATTTTTAGAATTACCTAAGAAATCAATAGAATCGCATCACTTTAGATGACTAACTCTTATCCGATCTGATTCATAAAGTTCCTTCTAACAAAGTTAACAGCGACTCCAGATAAAACGTACTTTTTAATGTTACGTAATGTAAATCAATAACAGTGTACCTGATTTACTGGCTGTTTTTCTATGGAAGTTAGGTAATTCACTTTTCAAAATACCAGTCAGTTGGGTTGTTTTTGTAGATGTGAGTTTCACGTTACTTCTATCATTTATTTGTCAATAAAATGCATGTACAAGCTCAAGCTTCTAGTAAAATACACGAAAATATATGGAAGAGAGGTTTTTAAAAATAATAGTCCACTTTTAAAAAAATGGGTAAGATAAAGAAGCGAAGAATACATGTGTATAATAAACTAAAACTTATGATGTAGCAACAGAACTATAATGAATTCAGAAATTGGACTACTGAAGAGTCTTACACAAGGACGGAACGGTGCTTTCAGGTTTTCAGTTTTACTCTGACATTGATCGTTTCTTGATTTCAATGAAATTCAACAATCTCTACAACCTCATACTTACATTTAAGTAACTATTCACATGTCTGCTTGTTAACTTTGTGCATACATCTTCAACCACTTCTTTTTATTTGCTTCTATTTCTACAATGCAGATCTTACGTTTGAAAATGACGGTCCGTTGGAATGGTCCGAAACAATGAATGTGAATCCATAATGAATGGAATTAGAGTTTTGTTGACTTGATTAATAAAATTTAATCATGGTTCTTCTTTTCAAACATCCTTTCTAAAACAAAAGAAACATTGTTACTTAACGAATTCATAACTAATGTCTTTCAAAGTTTGATTTGTTCTTTTTTTTTGTTTTAACTCACATGTTTTTCTCAATTCTATTGTGTACATACCTACAACGTATAGCCTGTTCAATTTTTGTTTTATCTTTCAGTTGTGAACTATTTATACTCTTATTGATTTATTGAAGCTTAATTTTACTGGAACTTATTTCTAAAATTGTATGCTACTTCTTATTATTATTCTTTTGATTTCAGCCATTGTCAATGATATGACTTGGAAAGTATGACGTATGTTTAGATATTGATTTCAATCGGTCAGTTTTCAGCCGAAATCGTTACATCATCATCGTCATTTATCATTTCCCCTATCATATGTAATTGATATTGTCATCTTACCCCCCGTTTATATTTTCTAATTTTATTTTTCTCAATGGTTTCTGGCTCCATTTTCTGTGATTAGTTTTCTAGATATCATCTCGTTTAGTACGTTTATTTCTGAGAATGTAAAGACTGGTTCATATTATATATATATAATTCATTGTATGTCTATGTTTTGACTATTGCTTTAACCTATTTTATATTTGTGTTAGATAATGAATGTGATTTTTTCAAAGTGTAACATCCTGTTGTTCAATTTTCCACAGTTGGAACAAGTATGTGTATATTTGTGGCATAAGCAACAAATCTACCAACTGTATGCATATGTTCTTTCGTTTATTTAAGTGCTGTTGATTTTATTGTTAATTTTCGAGATTTATTTTACAATTTTGAATCAACAACTATTTCGATTTACTGAAATGTTTATTGGAAAATTGTTCAAACATGGAGTTGTTTTTGGTTGTTGTTCTTGTTGGAGATGACTTGTATTTGCATTTATAAGTAGAACGTTGTATTTTCACCCCTTTTACCTTCATACAATGTGCATAAATAGTTTATTTGCCTATTTACCTTCATATATATATTTTTATGTATATTACTGCTAATCGCGCCAGTATTCATATTCTATATATTTGTAAATCAGTGAAAAGTTTGAATGGAGGTCATAGAATAACTTCTTTGCGCTGTGACAGTCATTTTTCCTATTTGAAACCTGTCACAGACACTATTGTTCACTATGCTTAATCGTCGAAATAAACACTATTGAATTTGATTTCGTTACTGTCATCCCTTTATGCCTAGTTAAATAGCAATTCAAAATATCGTATTATTTGCTTTCATATATGTAACAACGATTTAACTAACAGCTTAGTTGCTTTTAATTTATTGATTAGAAGAATTGAAATTGGTGATAAGTTATGGTTTTGTCCGATATTTTAAAAATAAGCTTATCGTTATTTTGTGATAGTTGACACCTTACTCTGTGATTGGCAATATTTTCTACGCATTTGATTGCACTGATTTGCTCCTGGATCATATTCTACCTGAACGAGCAAATTTTTTCCCGAACCCGTTAGCCATATGTTTTAATCCATCGATCACCTTTGGCGGATTACCAAATGACTGGAAGAACGTCGTTGTGAGTCCTGTAAGTAGCTGTTTGGTTACCGAGACAATGACCGGGATTTTTCTGAGAATCTTAATGGCTTTAGAAGAGGCTGTTCATACTTTATGGATATCTCAACCATCCGTGAACGCTGTGTCCCTTTAAATATCAGAAGCCAACCACAAGTGTAACCACTGATTTGAGAAGCCTTTTGACCAAGTTTTTCAAATCCGGCTCCTTTCTAATCTATGTGGTATTGGGATCGAAGATGACTTATTCACACGGATAAACAGTTTCACACTCAACAAAAATACGGCCTAACTCCAAGTTGTTTGACTGGGAAACTAGGCGTAGCGGGGTGTCTTAGGGTACAGTTTCGAGGCCAATGTTGTTCTTCCTTTATGTATATGACCTTCCTAGTCTCTTAGCTCTTTGGTTTTGTTTAATGCTGACATCAAAATATCGAGAGCGACAAAAATAAGGTGATAATTTAGTGCTTCAAAATGACTCAGAAATTAACTAACTGTACTAGAATTCAGCAGTTGCCGAAAAATGCTTACTAGTCCATTGTGATGCACATTGATCTCCAAGACGTAGATGCACACACTGCAAATAACATTGTGCTACCACTCATCCAGACACACAATGATGTGGGGATGGTCAGCCAAGCCTCGCAAACTATGGCACATCGCCTTTCACTAGCCACCAAAGGTTTTAGAACACGTAGAGCACTTAGCCATGTCGATTTTAAAACATGACTTTGTATACGGTATTTGTTCAGCCTAAACTTGGATATTGCATGCCTACAACCGGCCTCTTTTGACGAAAAGACAGTGAGAAGTAAAAAACCGTTGAGGTGTCAAATCATGGCTGATTCCCGGACTAGCAACGTTTCCATAAGAAGGAAGGCCGGCCAAACTGAATCGATTTCCCTTGTCATATGGTGGGACCATAAGTGAATTAATCAAAGTTTTTGCATTTATCATGTCTTCGTGTTTCTTGCCTTACAAAATAAACTTAACGAGGATACTGAAAAAGTTCATAGAGTCGGAACAAATTCTCTTACATCACCATCAACTTTCTCACCGAATCATCAACGAATGGAACTTATTGCGAGAACATGTCGGCGCACCCAGTTCTTCAGCATTCACCCTGCTCCTGCCTAAATACTCGTTGATCATTATGTGATACTATAATGCATTACATACACTCATTCCCAAAACAGTCAACCCTGACAACAGTGGGAGTATACCTATTTCGTTACTAACTCTTCCTTCCTCTGTTCCATGGATACCCAGGTCCCAAACCTGAATAATGGAACAGGGTTGGGCATGGGATTAGCGACCACAACTCGTAGAAAACTAACATGATAAAAGAAACGCTAAACAGAAAAAATATTTCAAATCATTCAAACTCTACCCTGTCAGTAGAAAGGTGTTCATTTAGAAGAGCTATAATACTTCATAGTGAAAACTGAGTTTCTTCGTAAGTCACGAGGCTAGTGCCTATTTTAACAACTAGACCAACCACAAATATTTGCCTTTTATGATGACCCAACCAAGCTATATTGGCTGGAAAAATATTTCTTTAGGTCCTAACATGCTAGGTAGGTCAATTGGAGAACGGTAAGACTGAAAGCAGCAACTCAACTTCTGAGGGTGGAGCCGCACTGCTGACTGTGGAGAGGTGTGACAACAGTGACTTGTTGCCCGCGGACAAGCAGCATCTGCACTAATACTGCCTTCTCACTAGGAAAGCAAGGGTTAGGAAAGGTTAAACCTACAAATGTCACGCCTCACCTTACCTCATAGATTTCCGTCTCCGCTATGCTCAGACGACCTCCTATTTCTAGCAAATACTACCTTTACTTACTTACTTACTCCTGTTACCCCAAATGGAGCATAGGCCGCCAACCAATTTTCTCCAACCAACTCTGTCCTGGGCTTCCCTTTCCAGTTCTGTCCAATTTTTGTTCATTCCTCTCATATCTTTTTCTATTTCTCGGCGTATTGTGTTCCTTGGCCTTCCTCTTTTCCTTTTGCCTTGAGGGTCCCATGTGAGGGATTGTCTCGTGACGCAGTTAGGTGCTTTTCGTAATGTGTGTCCTATCCACTTCCACCGCTTCTTCCTGATTTCCTCCTCCACTGGAATCTGGTTTGTTCTCTCCCACAGTAGGTTGTTGCTGATGGTGTCTGGCCAACGAATCCGAATTATTTTGCGTAGATAACTGTTCATAGACACCTTTCGACATGGCGAACCCCAAAGTCGTCCCAATGCTGGACACTACTAGATCATATCGCTATCAGCCACCGATGGAGGGGTCCGAAAGAAGACTGTCGATCGTTCTGGGGCAGACACTTGTGTTCAGATCATGTTCTAGTCCGAGCGCATATCTGTTTGCGGCTTACTGGGCGTTGGAAAGACACCGCAAGGAAGCCTCATCGGGTTCTATTTGCTGATAGCATATCTAGGAATATATTTCAGGAGCAACTAGAGAAACAGTTAGTTAGCCATGTAATAAGTAATGCGCACCCCAATGCAGCTTGGCATGATATCCGGAAGGCTGTGAAAACAGAAAACAAATCTGCAAGTAAGGTAAGGTCAGGGAGAAACAGTAGATTTCGATACCATCTACCGAACTAATTGATGTTCGAAAACTCGTTTGGCTCCGAACATGAGGAAGAGCGGAGTTAGATTAAGCTCAGGCTGATAAAAAGCGCCCGCGATGATCACGAACGGTGGTGGATAGTGGGAGCGAGAGTGATGAAAAAGGCAGCATTGACAAGTAATAGCAGACAACTGTTCATACTTATCAGGTAAACCGGTATTAGGAATCCAACTATTAACCATGAGATAAATGTTCATGAATTAAACAGATCAAGAAAATGTAACTGATTGTCGTTCCCAATAATTAATCGTGTGATTATTTATCAATAGTCTCGTCCAGCTATCTTGTCTGGAATTCTTCAGGATAGTGATAATCAAAATTATCATAGAATATATATAACGTTTAATAATCATATAAAGTATACACTTGATGTTTATTCAATCACATTCACATACGGAATTATTATTCAGTAAACCGGATTACATAAGTCACGTGAGATGTGAATAATCAGTGGATGCATGTGTTTATGTTTATGTTACTACTCATATCCAACTTGACACATTGTTATCCTACTAAGTGTAAAATTGATTGATTGATTAAATGTTATTTATCTCCCATGGTAGTTTCGATTATCACTACTCTGAAGAAGTCAAAACAAGATAGCTGGAGGAGACGTTAGAGTTATCTAAAATTCCAATTGCTTGGATTATTTCAACTACAATTCGATCATTAATAAATAAATAATCGATACACAATGTTTGTCAAACTATACCTTTAAATATTGTTGAATATTCGTTTATATTATTTATTCTGTTTACTTAACATCTAATATTTTGTGAAACTATTCAATCACATGTTAACAAACAATAAAGTCTACATAATCCTATAGTACACATAATGAATCATGCATATATTAGTTCCTGAGCACTCAAATTGATGAATATCAATTGGAATAATTCAGCCTCAAGTATCTTTCGGTAAAGAATTGTATAAAAAGATAAGCTGAGCTTACGTGTAGGAATTACCATTTCCTTTTTATCAGTACATTAATTACATTACTTATGTACTCTCATCATGACTTGTTTCTAACGTGTTTAGTGCAAAATCCATTCAAATTGAAACTTAATTAAATTATCATTAGCAATGAGTTATATTGTGTAAAACTATTGAAGTTTGTTTGAATAAAGTACTTTTGCATTAATTAACAAATTACAATACTTAATACATTTTGATTGCTATTCACATGTTAGGAAGGTAGGGTAACAGATGTATATATTAGTAGGATGAAAATCTTCTCACTTATTGATTAATATCATTTGTTTTTGATAAATATTTTTATTAATGTAATTTATAATGTAAAACTGTTTTAACATCTTAATCTAATTCAAAGACAATCATTAGGAAATTTGTTGATTTATCAAAAGTGAGATGAATAATTGGTCACGTTTTGTTTATTCTATGTTCGATTCTGTAAAATGAATTTTAACATAAAAGAACTTTATAACTAACTAGTTACTGTTCGAATCATCATAAATTTTGTTTGCAATTGTTTTGAAGATTGTAATTTTTTTTAACCTACAGTTCACGATAATTTTACCATTTCATTAAATATTTTCGAAAGTAAGCAATTGACTTTGATTGACGAAGCATTCAAAATAAGTCTCACGAAATACTAGCATTGTGGATCTAGCAGTTAAACATTTTGATGGAGATGGTTGACTTTCATTGAAATCATGAATCAATCATTGTTGGATTACCATTGGAAACCTGGGTGCACTGGACGGCGGTTTCATCTTAGTATGGGTCTCATCAGCAGTGTACATCCGTGACCTCCACACACAGCAATTGAACTAAAGACCAAAGGTCTTGAGCACGAAAGCTTAACCTCTAGACCACTGAGCTGGCATTCAGAGGTGTTAATGCCTAACTTCGACTAATCCACGATATTGCGTAACCTCACCCACTGTCTTTGGTGGGTAACTGTCTCACACCCGACAGCGTTAAACTCCACTCTTAACGGCTTCTGACAATAACTCTGAGAATTTCTTTATTCACTTGTTCACTAGTGAGCACATCACTGAATTCAATAATGTAGCTTCCTGAAGTTGCAAAATAATGACAAACAGGAAAGCTTCAAACTTTAATTATCAATATTATTGCTGCTGCTGTAATATTGTTTGAAATAAATCCATAGTTCC